ATCTGTTCTGCTGTGACACAGCTCCCAGAAAATCAGCACCATTGACTGCTGCATGGGGCACAGGATCTCCTGTGGACTGTCCCTCTCCCCCAAGGTAGTGAATCCCTTTCTAAGAAACATTTAAGGAAGTTCCACCTCAACATGAGGAAAAGTGTCTTTACTGTTCAAGTGACTGAGCACTGGAACACGTTGACCAGAGAGGAAAGTCTCCTTCTGACGCATTCCTGTGTGACCTGCCCTAAATGGTCCTGCTCTGGCAGGGGGGCTGGGTTCAGTGATCTTCAGAGGTCCTCTATATTCCACCCCCTATATTCTACGATTCTATGATATGCTCTTTGCAAAGTCTAAGTTCTGCTCTCTAAGACTATTTACTCATATTTCTTTCTTCCTTCTTTTTCTCTGTGTGTATCATTTTCTCCTTGAAATGAAATGGGAGCTAACACTTATAAAGTGGCTTAGAAGAAAACTGGGACCTGATTGTCTTAAGCTTTAAATTCATGTAATTATCTCCCAGTGAAAGAACACATCAGGACTACCAGGCTTTCTCAGACCATAATACTATTACAGTGTTCTTAAAACCGATCAATGTGAAACAGAAATAATGAATTAAACATTTTTTCATCAGCTTTTAGAGATAAACAGAAAAACCTCTTTATATTTTGTATCAGTCTCCAAAAAACCTCCATGTACTCTACAATAACCCACAAATACAGACCACCTTAGTGAAACTTGAGTTTAAAGGAAAGCATCCCTAATTTTCTCAGCTGCTGTCACAGTAGAGCAAGTACATGACCTGTGGCCACTAAGTGAAGCTCCTAGTTCCTTGCCTCTTTATGACACAATATACAGAGGAATTACGCAGATGAGACCAGATTGCATTAATTCTGAAGAAACTTCATAGAAAACTCATATGTTCATTTTTTAAGTGACCTATTTCAGCCCAAGTTGATAATGGAAACAAGAAACAAGGAAACACTTAAGCAGGTCACAATCTCAGTATTCATACTTATTTGCATCATTTTAACAAGGAGCCCAGGAAAAGAAAAAGGGTTTTTTTGGGAGGTGTTTTTTTCCTCCACTGTTATGAATCTGCCCTTATTCAAATTAGAGTAATAAATCTCTGCTCATTTGTATGATGTTAGTGTTGGCACTTCAGGAATCTGCCTTTGGTGACTATATTAGAAATAAGACCCTTATATAGTCAATAAGGAAAGGCAAGTACTGTGGAAAACACCGTTCACAGACTCCCATATGTTCTAGGGATAGACTCTAAAAGTTAGGAGTCTAAGCTCAGGTGGTTTTGAATGTTCCTCTGCTTCCAACCCTAAGCATAATTACTTCAGCCTAAGGAAATAAGCTATTATCTTGCAGCAACACAGGTTTATAAAACACACCTTTCTAATAGTTTTCAGAAGGAGGTATATTTTATCCACTGTAAAATGCAAAGTCACATTTGGGAAGTGAGCAATAATCAATGCACATGCACCAAGCATGTATTCAAGAAAGCATATGTTACCTCCTGAACTTTTCACAGAATCACAGAATCACAGGGATTGGAAGGGACCTCAAAGATCATCTAGTCCAACCCCCCTGCCAGAGCAGGATCACCCAGAGCACATCACATAGAAACGTGTCCAGGTGGGTTTTGAATGTCTCCAGTGAAGGAGACTCCAAAACCTCTCTGGGCAGCCTGTTCCAGTGCTCTGTCACTCTCACAGTAAAAAAAAAGTTTTTTTCTGATATTTGCTTTTGTCACAAGTTTCAGGACTAATTTTTTTTTTTTTTTTAAGGACTAAGCAACCTTAAAATTCAACATTTTACAAGTACTGAGCTATGTTTAGTTACTCCAAACTATTTAGCCTCAACTCCCTCAGCCTTCCTCACTGGCACAGTGAAGCAGATATAGACAACATCTAGACTATGTGATGCTACTTGCTGGAGAAACTCTTCAAGCCTCACTCTGCTGCTTGTTCTTACCTGGGACCTGGCTGTCTGTACAACATTTGTTTTCCCAGGAAATGTATGTGTGCAAAGGAGGGAAAGGGTGTTTTAGGTAGATATTACTTCTCAAGGAGCAAGTAAGAAGCACTCTCAGTCTCACAATTAACAATCCAAGCCAGAGAGCAGTGAATTACACGATTCAAGTCTGAAATACACATTTCAGTCTAAAATACATCACAAGTTCTATAAATATCTCAATATAGATCTTGAAAACATTTTATATTTTCAGTACAGTTTGCTTATTGAATCAAATTTATTCCAATATAGAAATGTCCCGATATAACCAAACTGTACACCCTTTTAAAAGGTATAATTATGATAAATTTCTGGTAGGTCTGACAATGATTTTTAGAACCCAAAAGCTAAGGCTGTCATTTATTTTCAGGCGTAGGTGATATGAAAAAAAGGAGGGGAAAAAAAAGTGTTCTGAGGAGATGTGTTTTTAAGCTCTTCTTACAGCTTTTCTCACAAGCTGGTGCTATTCATATCGAGTGCTATAACAAAAGGCCTGAATTCAAATATTGTGACATCTTATATAGCTGTTTCTTTCTATGTCTCAAATGAAAAGGTCACATCACTGGAAGAAGAGTCCTAAAGGGTGGGGTTGCATACTGATTGAAAAATTAATATCTAAAAGGATTCATTAAATAATAAGGGATGTATCAGGCTGCTAATAGAAGTGTGTTCATTGCAGCAAAATGTTTTTGTTTCTCTTCACCTCCACATATCTGGAGATGACATCTGAGAAGACAATGCTTTTAGTTTTCTGAGACACTATTTTCACTGAGGCACTATTTTCACTGAGGCACTATTTACTTCAGACACATCCCCTGGGATTTGGGGTTTTTTTAAATAATTCAAGCCAGTAGCTGGGAAAGAGCTTGTAATTGACAGCATTGCTCATGTTTGATGATAAGAAGTAAACCAAGAGTTTTCCTAGACTGGGGCCCTAAGGTATCTCATCCCTCTCTTTGAGGCAGTTCAAGTTGCACTGCCAGGTGAAAGACAACATAGCTGCAGTAAAGTCAGTGCAGTGACCTCGACTTGCTCTTGTTGGAGATCAGGTAGTTGAAAGTAGATGAACTGTCCAAGTGACTCTTTGACATTCATCCAATGATGGTTTTGCTTCTGGAGGAGTTAGGTTATGAAGGTAAGACTGTGCTATTCATCTAGAGGGTTGCGTGGTCTGTATACCTTGATTGTGTAAGGAGATTCATTGAAGTCAAAAGGCTACTCATGTGAATAAGATAGAAGAGTTTGGTCCAAAGATCTGATCACCCATGCAGGATGGATTAGAAATCACAGTGCTCACAGTTATATTTATTGCTTTTGTCCAGAATAATTAATATACTTAATCACTAGCTTAACTTTTATCACAAAAGCAGTATACAAATGAGATGCACAGCGATAATTAGAAACCTATCTAATGTTTTTCACTGAGTCAGTATTTTCAGTTGAATCTATTGATACTAATTTAAACACAGTAAATATTTCCTGCTAATTTTCAAAGGTTTTGGATCAGAGAAAAGTCTTCCACTATGTAAGTGAAATAAAATATACAAGGTAGCACCTACAAAGGAAGGCATAGAACAAAAGAGATGCTGGGAAGCTGGATAAAAGTTCTTCAGGTAAGTCTGGGAACATTGTCACTATGAGGTGAACTTACTTCAATCTATCTAATAAAATAAAATGTTGCATTCAACCTTACCAATCTTTGTCTCTTCCCAATTCTATTTATAAAAGCTCTGTTTCAGATATAAGGCAACATAGTACAAAACTTAAAGTGGTGACCAAATACTTGTTAAAAAAGAACGGGAAAAATAATTAAAGATGGGACAGAAGATGTTGCTGTGAATACGCCTGTTTTGTTTGTTTGTTTTTTGTTTGTTGTACAGGCCTGCAACTGCACTCAAAAATTCTAAAAATAAAGTTATCTAATAATCATCAAGAAATATGGAGCCTTACAGCAAGAATTTCTAAAATGTTAATTGTTATTGTGTGCAATGACTTTGTCCCAGTGTGCTACTGTGCACATCAGTGTCCTGCACAGTTAACACAGAATTTTTTAAAAAATGAATCCATGTATTTTAATCTGAGGTCCAAATAGGCACATGACAAATCATTTGGCCATGATACAGAATACAGAATACAAATTCAGCTTTGAGATAACTCCACAGAATCTAATTAAATTATGCAATAGAATAATTTGACCTTGTTTTTTTAATATACTTGTATCTGGGGAGTTACCTACAGTTTGAGCTTTGGCACTCACTTCTAAGAATAAATATTTCAACAGATAGAATAAAAAGCAATTTCAGAGATTCACATTTAAATTCCACACTTTTCTGTGTTCGTTTGTTAATTTTTAATTATTAACAACTGATTTAATGACAACTGACAAATGTGATGGGACTTACTGGGCATGAAAAAATCATCCTCATACCCCACCAGATGAGGTGGGACATGCAAGAGACATGGACAGCTGATACGTGAGAGCTCAGAAAGAGGTGAAAACATATGCTACAAATGTGCTTGTAGATGAAGAAACAAAATGAGGGTTGCCACTCCTTTTAACAAAGGAATTGCAATTTTCCTAAGGATTTCAAGTTAGCATAGATATGTATTTTTGCCTTGCTAAATCTCATGGAATCACTTCATTTAGAACACAAATAATGATATTAATATGGTCTTCATTACAGCCAGGCAATTGGTATTTCTGATAAGGGCTACTGTTCACTTGCATGCTCCTGATGAATTTTCATAATGTTTGCTTTGTTAGACAGCAATGATCAATAGCGTTCCAAATCTTTCTTTTGTCTTGATTTTAATTTATTCTATTAAGACATTCTTTAAAGACACCTCCATAAATGGATGTATCTTTCAAAGATATAATAAGATCAAACACATTATTATTATTTTTTCTAGTAATCAAACTGGAACACAAGGAAGAAGGTTTAGAAGTTTTAGACTGAACTAGTATTGTTGCTACAAAGAATAAAACTGATACTAACACTTCCAGTTGTAGATCACTGGACTCCACTAAATGGTTTGCAAGAAACTTCATAGGTTAGTGGATACTACCCACCTATGGAATAATTTTTGAGGGAGAGTACATGAACATCTTTGTACTATGAATCTTCCAAGAAAAACACCTTAACTTTCTAATGCACCTCAAAACTGAACTCCTCTACAAATCAGAATAATGCTGTCTGACATTGTCTCCATTAGGTCCTTAGCATAAGCAGGTGCATTCTAGAAATTTATTTTTGCTTTAATTTCTGAGTTTTTTTATTTGGGAAGCATTTATCAATTTTTAATTCTGAAAATAATTACAGAACTTGTGATTTCCCCCAAACATTCATAAATAAATTGGGGAAACAGAGTTTTTTTAAAAGCTCTAGATTTACTATATTTGGCATTTTACATTCTGTTTATATTACATCCAATGTTCAATGTAATTTTGAATCTGACAGATCAAAACCCTAAAATCATAAAAAAAATTCAGTAAATGAATGCGAGGCTACTAATTGTTTAAAATTATGCAAATCCACATAAAACCAGAGATGTAAAAGGTCTTCAGTGTTTTATTTGTTCATGTTTCAACTTTAAATGGGATGAAATATTTAGGAAAATCTCCTTAGAGAACAGTGTGAAGAAGTTCACATGGAATATTTTATTCCTTTTTCTGGGCTGCTTTCATCGTTTTCTATCAAGTTTCTGTTTAAGCAGAACATTCTTTGTACTATAGCCTCTAGGAATAAACCTCTTAACCATCACTAGAAGATTCAATATATGATCTTTACTGTCCCCATCAATCCTCTTTATTCTAATGAGCTGGATAGATGGGAAGCTTGTTCTTAAATAGCTAGTGATAGAGTTATCTGTATGCAATTGCTTGTTCCTCTCCTTATTCCTGGGGGGTTGGGAGAAATCACTATTATCTCTCTAGCATCATACAATTCACATGTGTTACTAACAGCAGAGAAGCATGTAGCTTAATTTTGGTTGGGTTTTTTTTTTGTTTTTTAGGGTTTTTTTGTGGAATATTACCTGCTGTGCTAGGAATTTCTCATCAACATCAGCAAAACACCAGTGCAACTGAGGTTCTTCGATATCTTTTTCTTGGCTAATTGTAACACATTTTTTAACTTTCAGTTCTGTTTTATAGGGAGCATTTGCAATTCTTAAAAAAAAAACAAAACACCTCTATTTTTAGGTCACACACATTTCCTTGTGAATAGGAAGATTTAGGTAATATCACACAGTAAATGATGTTTTATATACCTCTTCAGCTGACATATCATTAATTTGAAGAGATAATGAATAACTGAGCTAAAACTGGAACATCATCTAACATGAAAGAAGCCAATTCCTATGTTTAGTGTCAGCAGTTATAGCATTTGTCATAATCCTGATACCAATGCTTTCTGTTTTCTCAGCTTTCTTTTGTGATAAATGCATGTGCAAAACCATCATTTTCCTTAATATCAAATTCTTGTGGAAATCCTCACCCAGTATTTTAGGTCCAAAGGAGATATACTGGTATTCCAGTGACAGACCCTGACCCCAGTAACAAAAAAAGACTTAGTTTACCAGGCAAAGGCTCCTGATCTGCATAAAGAGCTGGCAGTTCCACACATTTGTCTTCATTAGGGTTGAACCAGCAGTCGAAAGCTAAATACATCTCTTCCTTTGTGCCTGTGTGCTTCATATGCAGTAAATCTAAGTGCCAAGGCTGTTTCAGCTCGCTACGTGGGCCAGTCACCTGAACTTTGTATATTGAGCCAATATCTGCCAGTTCATCCTATGTGAGGAAAAAGAGAAGATTAATGCATGCATATAATTCTGGTTGTGCCAGATAAAGTGTAGTTGACATCTGTATGCAAAGGCTGAGCAGGCTCCAGTAGCTGAGGAACTTGGGGAGATTTATAAATGCTACTTGTTTCCTTTCTAATCAATACAAAACTGATTTACCAATGTGAATGAGGATCTGGAATGCTTGAGGTTTGTTATCAGTGAAAGAGTGATAGCAGTCACCACTGAAATTTGTACACACAACAAGGCACAGTATTCATATATATTACACTGATTCAGTAGACTATTTGTAGGCACAGAGGCTTTAGTCAGTTCTAAAAATTTGGATCCTGATAGGTCCTTTCCAACTCAGCATATTCTATGTTTCTATGAACACTATTAGAAATAGTTCTTACAAATTTTTAATTTAAAAATGGAACAGTTATCTATAAATTTGAATAATTAATATGAATTTGAGGAAATATCCAAGAGACCCTCCCTCTTCACCCTACATCATGTTTTCCTATAGAAGCTGTCCATTAAAATCTTCCTCTTCTTGCATTCATGCTTGAGAAAAGATCTAGTTCTACTGAATATAGTAAGGTCCTCTGTGACATACCATTGCTTGAGTAAGCTAAAGTAGAGAACACCTTATATAACTATAATTCTTGTTTTTAAACCAAGATTTTTTCCCTATAAGCAAAAAAGAAGGGAGAAAAGAGAAGTTGTCCTTTCATCTTCCTATTCGCTACTTCCCATATTCTTTCCCATGCTCTTTCATTTCAAATACGGCCCAGCTTCTCCTCTGACAGGTCCCTTTCAGTTTAAAACTATTTCTTTATATATATCAAAAGTTCTTGGAAATAACTTAGGAAAACCTTCTGGATAGTCCACATTTTGAATTATGTTTGTGGCCTAGGCTAGTCTGCTTAGTTCCTATTTCACTGAAGAAAAGAGGAATATCAGAAAACAGCCAATTATTTCCTTAGGTCAGTCATTAAGTTCCATTTACTTGACCAGGAGGAAAAAGAACCAGAAAAGTTTCTTCATTCACAACTCTGAGACTGCTTTTTGATGAACTGCAAAATGAAAATATCATATTTTCACACATTCTTTGGGCTTTTTGCCAAGGGTCTCTTCAGCCCTTGTTTTTGTCCTGGTTTTTCCTTGCAACCTGCTTTTGCAGTTCCAGCAGTCAATCCTGAAGAAACATCATTCAGGAAGTGGCTTCATGGACATGCTTCTCTGATGCAAAGCTGGCTTGTGAAGTTCCCACTTCCCTGTCTGCCCAATTGCTCCCATCCCCTCAGTCCTGCCTTTTATTTGTTTCTGCAGCTGCAGGGTGAACCAATCAAGGTCAAAACAAAGGCTGAGGAAGCAATCAGGCTTAAAGCTTCCAGTTTTCTCACAGGGATCAACCACTTCCTCAAAATTCAGAGTGGACAACAGAAGGATGGAACAAGTAGTACAAGAACAGGAAAAGTAGTCATCACACTTCCCTTGATTTATCATCCTAGCTTGCAGCACTTCATGGCTCAGGGATCTCCTGAGCCAGTGGACGTGTCTGCAGAGTTTACCTTTGGGTCAGTTCCAAATTCTACTGAACTGGTCTTTCATGAAGATCAAAACAGAAAAGTGTAAGAGTAACATAGCATCAGCATGGGGAAGGAATTATAACTACAAGAGGGAAGTAAAAAACATTGGGAAAAGAAACATACTACAATGAAATTGAACCTCAGACACTTGTTAATATTTCAGTTAACCAGTAATAGGAGGAAGTGAAGACAAAAAATGAAAGGGCAGAAGAACTGAATAGAGGACAAAACTTGTGGGTAAAAAGGAGATGATCAAGTGCAAAAATAAAGTGATAATTACAGGCAAAAAAAAAGAAAGAAAACATCCAAGAAAAAGTAGTTAGCTTGGAGAAATGTAGTGGCAGGAATGAATAAATTACATGAAAGAGAAAAATTAACTTTCTGTAAGTTTCATCTCCATCACAATTCTTCTGTTTCCAAAAGCAGCTCCAGAAGCTCTATCCTATCCCATAGCTTACTGTATGCTTACAAATTACTTACTTTTGTGAGGTCAACAAAACGTGTAAATCATTACCAGCAGCGTGGTTCTATACTGTGATATGCACCAAGGGACCAATTTGCTCACTTAAGCATTCTCAGTATGAAACACTGGGAGAATCTGCTCATTCAAAAACCGTGACAGTGTTCCTACCTACAAACAAAAACGATGACCTGTGCCACGCTACACAGAGGATTTAAAAATCAATTCTCTATTTTAGTTTAAAGTAACAATTTATCCCAGAATTAAGTGGGTTATCAGCTACGAGACTCATGCTTTCATTTCAATAGAGAAGGGTTCAAGTACTTTGATCTGAGTTGCTTTTCCTGTAACTTGAACTGGCAACTTTTTGCGACTCATGTTGCCGTAGAAGGTAAAAGAAAGGCATATTGGATCCTCTTCTGTGCTCATGTCAGATCCAGTGATGTCCATTATCCAGAGACCTGATGACTTCATGTTGATTTTAGGCAGTTCAGGACTATAAATCAGTCTTCTGCCTTTAAAAATCATGGAAGAGAAAGAGGAAAGATGACAGCATGAGAGAATGACATAATATAACAGGATCATAACCTTTATAGTGCACAAACAAAGCTCTATTAACAGGTTATGTTGTAGCTATAGCAACAGTTCAATAAGAAGAACAAATCAATATTTTAATTATATTTTTGGCCAATAATTTAATGGCTTAATGCTCCTTCTGTTTTTAAAATTTACTTCCAGAGGTATTTTCTTGATACCAAGGTATTTTCCTCGACGAACCTTACAAAAAACAATCAATGTTACTAAAACCACTTTATCATTTAGAAGCAGCAACCATCTGTAGCAAGTAGGCACCTAATACAAAGTGAGTAATACCAATTAACTCCACCTGTAACTAGATTTTACCTAGCAATATAATGTGCTGTAGTAGTGCAAGACTGACAGGTAAGCCTGTAATAAACATACCAAAAATATTTGCCAGATCCGCAGATCAGCATTATGATTCCCCTCTCTTTTTCTCCATTACTTGCTGTTATCCTTAATTTTCATTCTGTTTTAACCATTTTGTAAGAAATGAAAATGGTTTAATGGAAAGGAACAGCTCATTAAAATGTACCTTCTATAACTCAGAAAAAAACCACGACTGAATACCTCTGTAAGTCTCATGGACACCTTATGTTTTTAGGATGTCTTTTTCATGGGACTGAAGGAAAGTATCTCTTCTAGATCTACATGACCCAAAGTCCTGCTGTAAGTGTTCTGCTATAACCATCCAGGTTTAGATTTGCACAACCTGTGGTGCAGATGCTTGAAATGAGCAGAAACTGAGCATACAACAGGTGTTGGTCTATGCTGTGGAATAATACCACAAGTAAAGAGAAGACTCATTTCACTAAAGTAAATTTTCTCTGGATTTCAAATGAGATTCTAAGCTACTGGAAAGTAGTGCATAATGCTTAAGCTATTTATCCCCATGAGGCACACATCCCAAACTGCTTAAAACTTTCATTGCAATGTGCTAAATTTAATTCAGAAGGTGAGTGTTCCACTGATAACATTAACAGGAGGTGATTTTATTAGTTTTGACCTTACCAGACATGGTTTTGCTCTAATAGTAAGATCAAACTGAAAATTCACAATTTCAATAAAAGAAAGATACTATAGAGACCTGAAAGAGTTGCAGCCAAATTTAAATAATAATAACATTAAAATTAATAATTTTAATACATATTTGTGTATGTATGTATGTATGTGTGTATAAGCAGGCAGGACAGTTTTTCAGAAGAGCTTACCAACTGTCCCAATCTCACAAACGGTCTCACATAACCCCAGGTGAGTATCAAGCCAGTTCCACAATGGGAAGACCCATTCTTTGTCTGAGTCTTGTGATTCTTTGACTGTTACCATCTTGAGGTACATCCCAGCTCCATAGCCTTCTCCATCGTGTTCTATAACCACTTTTTCTAAATGACTCAGAGAAACAGCTTCCACCAAAAATGAATCTACCTGCAAAAAGGGAAATACATAATAAAACTGAGTTTGAAATGGAATATGTTTGAACATTGGGGAAACTGTATCCTGGATTCAGCTGAGCATTTAAAATTTCTATGTGTTTTTTTGTAATATTTAACATAACATTTCCTCTCTGAATCTAAGAAAGCACACACTGATAATACCTAACACTGAATCCCACATTCATAATTAACCATGCATTGTAACTTAATTTGATCTTTGGACAATACTTACATGTTTAGATTTCAATAACATGCATATACCTTAGCTTTCTGACAGTCAAGCTGTTATGACAAGATATTGGTTCTAATAAAATTTCCATCCTCCTGGTTTCCAAAATTTACCATACAAACCTATATATATAGTAATAGTCCTAAAGAAAAGTGAGAAATCTAAAGTGAGCATGTTCACTTCAAGATAGCTTCTAAATTCTTCTCCAATAGCCAGAAAATACCATCTTACTATTTTACTTACAAAATTAATGAAAATTATTATGGAAGTAGCAAATGGAGAAGAAAGGAAGCCATATAAGAGAGGAAGTTAAGAAGGCTGAGAAAAAAATTGAGTGAAAAACAAGTGATGGGAATGGAAAAGTAAACAAAGGTATCAGTGGGTGAGAACAGGGACAACAAAGATAAGGGAAAATATAAAATGCAAATAAATAAATTATATGCCCACTAAGCTTGTTTTGTAAGAAAGCAAGGTGTTCTGTGTTTGGCCCAGCCTAGGGCCAGGTGGGTCTCATGGTAGCTTATAAAGGTCAACAAGGTTATGAACAACTACAGTTTAAACAGCAATGTCTAGGGTTATAACTAACACCATCTTCCAATAAGACTTCAATTAAGTGGTAGGAACTTAGTAAACCAGATGTCAGGGCATTTAGAAAAGATACTAGCAAACTGATCTCCAAAAAATGTAGTACTTGCAAAGTTCTATGTGTTGCCTCCGCTATTAAAAAAAATAATAATTAAAAAAAAAAGTAAAAAAAGTAGTAGATTTTCTGCTACTAATATTAAAAGTACTTTCATATGATGAAAATTGAGAGGGTTTTTCTAACAGTTGTTAGAACCCAATGGTCAGATTGCAAACAGAAAGCATTAACTTTTCAAATTAAGACATTTTAGGAAATAAATCTCTGCATGAAGGTAATTAAAATAATTATTGTAGAGAGCTGCATAACACTGAAATGAAATTTAGAAATTCTCTCATTTTGTTACTGATTCCACTTTTACCCTACCAAGTGCTGTGGTAATTGTGTAAATAAATTATTTCACAGAAATCTAATACTCTCCTTGACAATGTACATTTTGGTAGTGAGCTTTTTTAGACTTCAGTGTTCAGTGAGCGAGCCTCTCATGGGAAAGCCCAATGCATAAGAGAGTAATTTTGTTGTTATTAATCATCTAGAAACACATTGATTGTCTCCATTCTTTTGTCTAAGTGGAAATATTGTCTCTTGTCTAAACTTACTAGACATTGAGTTAGTGTTTCACGTGGGATTGTGGTTACAGAAACATAACTGATTGCAGAAATCTCACAGCAATTTCTGTAACTTCTTTTGAATCACTAAGTTTTAATTCTCTGATACCTGTGCTGTCCTGTATTTGGGACAGAAGAAGTAAGAAGCATAACCACAGAGGTTCTCCACAGTAATCTTCTTTCCTTGTGCCCAAGTTGAGCCTTATCATGTGGGGATGTTATTGTGCAAGAAGGAAATAACACTGACATTGATCTACCGTGAACATCTGGAAGATAAATTCTGTTTCTAAATTCTTTTCCATGTGCAGCAAGATGTACTCTGAGCAGGCCTTAAGTGACACATTTAAGACAGCATTTTTTTTCACCATTACCTTATTCCTTTGAAATATTCTTCCTTTTGCTAAAGATGTATGAAGTTTCCTCACACCTGTGTCCCCTCTTTTGCCATAGAGAGTGATACAAACATTGGCAAATGTTTCTGCTCCCCAGCGGTCACCGATATGTACAGAGACAACATACTTATAGACTATAAAAAAAAATATTAAGTAAACCTGATTAAGTACAATGTGTACCTAAAATAAAACAGCATCACAGAGTATTCAGTAGGACTACTGTTTGTTGTCATTTCTGCAGCTACCAAAACATCTACTATGCAGTGGTTGAAATAGCAAGGTTACTCTCTATGAATCTGATCTCCTCATGCTAAGTTCAGTGAAGACTGTCCATAAATTTTGTTAGAAATTTGTAGGAAATTGGACTTGAGCAATTTAGACTTCTGCAGCTTAGAGCTACTAATACATGGACAAATTCTGCCCAATTCTATTTTACTGTGCAAGATCTGGAAAATCAGAACTCATCTGAGTTCTTTCATGAACTGTTAGAAACTGACTTATCTATGCAGCAGATAATAACTATCACAGGTGAAAGAATAAGACACCATGTATATTTTATGCAAATTATAGTAACAGACATGTAGCATAAGATCTGGATGCATGAAATTACATGGAAGTGTAAAAATTTATAAAATGCTCTTATTACTTTAAGGCACATGACAGGAGCTAAAAACTCTGCCTCTAGTGCTACTATATAAATGCACTTGCCAGTCAGACTGGATTTCCTTCTGAGGCAAATCATATTGCATATGTATTTGTACTCATACAAACAGAATAACCAACATGTTTCAAACATCATTTTTAATGTACAGTCCTGCTGAGTTAACATTTAACTAACAAAATGGTGTTGTTTCTTTTAACGTCTTGAATAGGACTGAGGCATTCAGGGACCAGAACTTCTGGAACTTAGTTTGGAAAAGCAATCACGTCTCTAATTACTGTTATCTCATGTGCAACTGCCCACTTCCCTGAACAAATGTGGTACTACTATAGGTCTTCATATTCCAAATACATATGCATCTCTGAATATTCTCTGAAAGTATCCACATGTCAAAAACTGGTAATTTGGGACAAACAAAAAACTTTTTGTACAGTGAGGATTACTTTTGGTACTTGCATTGCTAACTAAAGCTATAATAAGCTAAATAATTCAATAGTAAGCCAACTACAAATAATTTCCACGGCTTCGAACATGCACTTTATCTTTAAAAAGTATAGTTATATTGTTCAGTTTTGCCCGCTTAGGATCATACAGAAGATTTAGCAACTGTGAAATCCAATATGTGATTTAAGTAGAAAATTAAAATTTCTTAAGTGGTCAGCATTTTTGCAGTGCATATGTGAAGACAGTTGCAACACAGCCACTGAAGATACCAAATTCAGACAAATCACTGTATTATAATGGTGTCATTGATTTCTTTTCAAAAGGCTAGTTCACATTGTTTTTATCTTCTCAGTGTTTTTACCTGGCAAAGTTTCCTGGTCCTCACTGACTGCAGGGAATTCTTTCACCAGCTCTGTGCCTTCTCTGTTAAGAGAGAGCCAGCACTTACAGTCAAAGTTCAATTCTTGTTTTGTATGTAGCTCTTCTAAGTGAAAAGACTTCAAATGCCAACCCTCAAAGCCTGGCACATCATCACAGCTGACCCGAATCTTGTATACATCTCCCAGATCTCCAGTCTCAACCTGCAACAAATACCATGAGGAAGAGCAGACTATCAAGGCTGGTTCACTTACAGAGATTTTTCCAAACAGCATAGAATTCCAACACTTAACCAGAGGAAAAGCTGAATGAGATAAGTGTGATGAGGGAATCAATTCCTCTCTCTTTCATGGTATGATCATGGGTGAGATTATCTCTCTTATTTTCCTTTGTTCCCTTATTAGTATTGTGGGCTCTCCCTCACCTTCTTTAGGTTGATTGAAGGCCAAAATTAGAAACATCTGCACAATTAAGTTCTTTAGACAAAAGGTAACATGTAAAACTTAGAGCCTGCTGGATAAGGGGAGCATTAACTTACAATTAAAGGTTCTGATACAAGGAGCCAAGTGAAGTATTAACAATGATAATTACCATTGTTTAGAAAGTTTTAACTAAATTCTCATTTGCAAAATGATTTGATTTAGAACATGAAATTACAGCCAATTCTTTGGAAAAGTGAAGGGATGTTTCTGCATAAAAGTAAATCATGAATGCTACAGAAGTAACTCTAGAACAGCACAGTCCTGTTCCCATATTTTATATGGGAAATTCAGTATCTCGTTACTGACTGTGGGCTTCTGTGAGATCTGGTTGAACCATCTGACCAAGGGCTGTGGGAACCGGGGTGATCAAACTGCTAATGATCTGCATGACATTAAGCACTGCACTAAGTCTTCTGAGCACCAGAATGTGGAGTGCTGCAGCCTTTTACTGGGTGAATGCAAAAAGGACAGAAAGGCAAGTAGTTTTTTAAGTTAAACAAGTAAGAACCACTATTTTTAAAAGGTAACAATTATTTTTAAGAATGATCAAGCCAGAAGATGTTGCCAGTGACCTTGTTCATCTCTCATATTGCATTTTTTCCCCCAGACCAGTCACTACATAAGCTTTGGTGACCACTACCAGGAAATAAATCCTTTATGCACCCAGTAGCATCACAGTAAGAAAATTAAGTCTTAGGCAGTCATGCTCTGGGACCAGCAGCATCACCAGCAGACCTGCTCAGAGATTCCTGACTTAGTCGCTGCCATTGTGCCATGAAAAGGGAAACATCTGGGCAGAACTGTAGATCAACAGTTTTTCATTCATGCTATGGTGGACTGTGCATTCTAATTCTCCCAAAATATGTATTAATCTCTCATTAAACTTAATGGGAATTATTTGGGTTCATTGAGAAGAAAGCACATGGGCTCTTCACCCATCTAAATGGTATGGTTCAGTACCTTCACAGACAACAAAATAATTGCTTCTGCTCTTTCAGAACCAGATTACTGACTTGTAAAATTACTGCCTGCAGACTTTTTTTCCAGTAGATGGACCTCATGACTGTGTCATGCAGCTAGTCTAAATGCCATGCACAACTTGCTCCATAAATCTCTCTGGTTTGGAGTTCAAACATTACAGTACTTGATTTTTTTTATATGACAGGGCAAGCTGTATCTCACATTTTATGTTGTCTTCTGCTACCCAAATTTGCAATTCTCTTTGCTTCTAAATTTTCCTAAAGACATGTGCTGTAATCCTTGTAGAAAATGCACAGATGAGGTATATAGGAAAACAGTTTCTCAATACAGGGCAGACTGTTTAAAAGCCACTGCTTTCCCTTTTGTTTCTAGAATCACAAATTCAATTAATTCCATGACTATCTTTCAACCAGAAAACACTATTAATCACACTGTCTATGATCCATGGAATTAAACACCACTAATCATTTTCACTGGAGTGTATTAGATATTTTCCCCCTTTTTTATGGGTTTGTTGTTTTCCCCCACAGTTCTGACCATTATTAACTTTTCTGTTCAGCTCCATCATTTTAACAGAGCATTGCCATTACATCATTCATGTAATCCTTCTCTGAACAATTTAATACAATCAGTTTTCCTCTGGAATATGATAACCTATCTTTGATCCCATAATTGGTTTTTCCCTCCATCAATGTCTATTAATTGATGTAACATGACCTTCAAAGCAGAGACAAATAAACCATCACAAAGTACATATCCAGTGAATATCCTGGTTTTAAGCTTGCAGATTCTTTGCAAGAGGACACTTTATCTAGTTTTTTTATTCATTATTATAATTATTTTTCCACTTTTATGTCTTCTGAACAGTTTTATGTAATAATATTCAGTACTTGGAATCTGAGCTGAGTTAGATGTCCTTTGTCATACACTAAACAACACGATATTTTTCCATGACATGACTGAAGGAGCATGGCTCTTATAATGAAGAGGGTGCTCTGGCAAAGCCACTGGGGTTTTGAAGCTCTCAGAGACAGGTGATTAGGGAACTTCATAGTATTTTAAATCTTTGCCTTTTTGACTCCCACATGACTTCTCCAAAGACATCATGCCTAGCATAATTAAAGCTTTGCAAAATTTCCTGTGTATATTTATATTAAATGCTTAATCACTTCCCTTTTAAATATATATATATATATAAAAATTAAAATATAAAAAGTGCATTAATTATTCTAGTCAAAAGGGTGTGGTCAAAGCACCCTAAAATTCAGCTGAACAGCTTTCTGTCAGGGATACCAGCAATCCTATCACTTGTTTGGAGCATCATCTCATACTGTGAAAAACCAATGGAGTATTGCATTATGTGATTTAAAATTTTCTCTCACCTTTACAGACCTTAACACTAAACACATTCCATATTTGTTGTGTTTTTACAAGCAGCCCTACTTGCAGAGATCTGTTGCTCACTTCCTAACTACCTGTGCTAGTGCTTTAGAGAGTAGTTTTAGGGGCCCAAATCCCACCACCTGTCAGTCAATGTATCTTTATATTTTATGATTCTGTGGATAACAGAATGTGCACAATACACTAGGACTCTTCAGAGGCATCTCTGACAAGCTTACTCTGTAAGTAGCCAAGAAACACTGACAACTTGGAGAAAGATTATATATATATTTCACAAATTTACTCATTCCATGTGAGATCAACAATTGATTCCTATCATGACAGGGTATCAAGGAAAAAACATCTGCTACTGCACTGCCAGTTTACTTTCATTTTCCCAGATATTTTTCAATATGTTTGTTCATTGGAGATGGCACAGTTTCTTGCCATGCTTTCTCCAATGCTAGAACTTCCAGCAGATTCAATGACATTGACACATTCACCTATTTCTCAATTTCTTGATCAGAACTAAGGTGATCTAATTAAATTTATTCTTATTTAAGCAGTTTATCCACTATACTACAGACATATGTACTACAGTGAGACCACTGAAATGCAACAACTGTACCTGACAACATGGTGCTATTTTACCTCTTCTGACAATTCATTCTTTATGCTTGCTATGCGGAGTTAAACTACACCTGTTCTTTCACAGCAGCAGGTTAGAAATATTTTGGATCAAATGATCATTCTGAAGACAATACACATCTATGCATATATTTGTGTGAGAGCAGCTGGAAAATCAGGAATTTACATGCCTTCCTGTCCTCAGTGTGCAATAAATGTATTTCTGAGATAAAAAATTAGCTTACTGTTTAAAACCTGCTTATAACACAAAACCCATTGCTCTTTTTACTGCAGCATATTACTAAGGATATTTGTCTAGGACCAGGATCTTGTGGGGTGAGTATGTGTGTGTGTATGTGTTAGAAGTTCATTCATTCCTGTTTCTTGGAAAGCTGAATTCACAGCTTTTCCTCCTTGTATGGCCAGGATTATGCCTCACTCTGGTGCTATGGTGGGAGAGCATGAGCGAAGCTTCTGCACTCTCCTGAATAGCAAGAACAAAGAAAGGGAGAGTAAAAAGAAACTGGATTTATTAGCTGAACAACCTAGAGAAGATGTGAAAGTATTAATGAAGATATCTGTGGATCCCCAAATGCTCCTTTATATTTGACCCAATATCCTGGTTTCCTTAGAAAACTGGTTTCCTTTTCCAAAAACTGTAAAAATTGTAAGCACTGTGGCAAAGAGACAAAATTTCATGCACATTAAGCAATGCTTAAATAGTATTAACTTCTTCATACAAAGGAACAAAAATAGGGACATAAATAGGTAAGGGGAAAATATAAGCAATAATCCAAAGCCAAGCCAGAGTACAAACAAGCATCTGGAAAGCCACTGGGGTGGAAGCCCAGGGTAATGGATACAGTATTAGGGTGCCTAGTAGACTATAAGTGACAACCATGACTGACACATAATTTCTCCTAGTATGGTATTCAGTTTTTGAAATTAGGCAATCTTAACAATGAATTTGTGCCATTTGGGAAATTGCCAACAAGTTGGATGTAGCAGAGGTCTGCTTCATGGAATGATGCTTGCCAAAAATTCAGCCAGCTGGTGTGGTTGCTCCATACAGAGATTCTGTCTCTATTGCCCTTTTCAGTTTATGTCGGTGGTTTAGGAAGCTCCTTTTGTTGCTCAGTGTGTTTCCTGCCTGTTTTCTGATAAGCAGCTGCTTTCTTGTCTTTAGTAAGTGCCATTTATCTTTCCATTTACTCCCCATAAAGTTCCTAAATTGCTTTAGCTTGTTATTTAAATTAAAAATTCAGCCTGGATCATGTCATTGTGATAAAGATTTGACAACATTTTCTAAATGTAGTTTCGCCATTGTTTTCAGAATGTTTATTGCAGTCATTGTAAACTATTTCTGAGCTTTATAAAATTGCTTTGAATTGCAAGCTGTTTCTCTCTTCTCACTGGCTAGAAGCTGCACTTCATGCCAATCAACAGAATTTGCAGTGACTTAGCCTAGAAAGCCAGGACAGAATTTGAACATTAAAAAGATGCCTTGGATGAATCTTCTCAAAGCAGCAGGATGCCTGTCAGGTGTACAGGTAGTCAGGACTGTGTTAGGGATGATTTTAATACTGGCCATCTCTATGCTATTGCTCCAGGGTTCATCACACTTTGATATGCGCGGATGCATTCGCTTGTGATTTATGATTATCCAGAAAAATCCTCTGCCTGCTGGCATGAGAGACAGAACTATTTTGGGGAAGAGTGGAGACAGCTTTACAGAGACTGAAATAAAGGGGGAAAAAAAGCCCACATATGTCCTCTGAGAATACTGTCCAATCCTTCATCTTCTGCATTCTCAAATATTTGTATATTGCCTTTTGTATAAACTGCAACTTAGAAATCTTCAAAGAATTAAAAATAAATAAAAATGCAGGATGTGCTGATGAATGCAATAATTTACAGAAAGGGAACCATTTTTCTCCAGGATATATACAGTGAAAATTCAAAGAGAGCACTGCAACTGGCTATAGAATAACAGGACTGCCAACAGGTGATGTCCCAAAATCTCAAGTTGTATCATTCCATCTTTCTAAATAATTACTTAATCTGCACCAGCAAATCTAACATTCCATATATACATATTTTGGCTGGAGAGGAATAACAAGATAAACTCTGTATAGTACTGTATGTTTATGACTTACAATGAATTCATCTGTTGCTTTGGGTAGAAAGCACACATATCCTGGGGTTTGTGGAGAAAGCAGAAGCTCATCACTTTTGCCCTTTGAGCCATAAATCACAAGGGTCCTTTTACACTCCCGTGGCTCTGGGGAATCTCCATCTGTTTTAACCTGCACCCTCCACTTTTTTCCTAAACAAAAGAAAAACACATTTTTAGTATCACTGGCAGATTTTAATGGCTTCATTTTTATTATTCTTGATACAAAGATTTTAAAGATTACTATGAACTTCTATCACATTTTATAAAAATAGGCATTAATTCTCTTGAAGACAATTGTAGATTACATAAGACTTGATAAACTTAAGACAACTGTTGACGTGGGTGTGTAAGCAGATATTGACACCAAGGAAGCAGGAAAAGGAATATTTGGCTATGTTTTTTCCTCCTTTATAACAAAACAGTTGCTTTAATTGCAGTAATTAATTTTATTTCCATTCTTACAGTATTCATATGGAACATGAAAAAGAAAACTAACATTTTTAGAGACTTCTAAGTGATCTGTTTGTAAGAATTGGTGGCTAATAGACAGCTAGTTAAACAATGAAACTTACACTTATTTTCTCCGAGTTTTCTAACTTGATTTGTTATGTTCACTCTGCTCCTTTGCCAGATTGGATCATTCACTAGTTTGAATCCAAAAGTTACAGAATTCCAAATAAGTGTTTGCAGAGAACTCAGGTCATGGCTTAGGCCTTTCAGAAATTCTTTTGAGTTGGTGATCTGTACTCATAACAATGTTTGAAGCCTATAAAGCAGCCAAGAAGCTACAGAAAACCATTCCAATTGTGGAAAAAATATTTAGATGGACAGTATAGATTAGAAAGTTACTTAACTGCTCGAATTTGAATATTCCTCTGATGCAGTTAATCCTGTATAGCAAAAGGAACTTAACAGTGGAAGGAAATACAAAGCCTCTGTTTAGACTGTGACCAGTACTTTGATAATATGATAATTTGCTAATGGGATTAATATAAAGAAGAACTAGTGTTCTCCTTGTGATTGTGTGTAAACCTACAACGCAATATGCTGACAAAATAAATTTTAGAACAATTTAATTCTGAAATAAATTGGCTGTTATTCCTTCTCTTACAGTGAAGTTTATTTTTTTTCATACCCTCTCTTTTCCTCTGGCTGCTGGAAGATGGACATTGGGTGAAAACCTGATCTGTTTTTCTTGGTTGATGATTTTCCCCCTGTTTTCTTTAGCTAATTCTGGTTTCTCCCTTGTTACAGAAGCTTTCTCTGCTTTACATTTGACTGTTCCATGACTCTTCTAGGCTCAGCTACAAACCAGCAGGCAAATACCCATGTCACAGTCAGTCTGTTGGATAACACATTAGCTGAAAGGATCCTTCCATCTGAACTCTTTTTTGAGGTCATTTCCAGGAATGAGTCAGATATAGTATGTGGAAGATCCACACTTTGCCTAATGAGGAACTTGTTGTTTGATATATGTGCCAGCCTTGAATTTTATCTGCTTGTGCCAGGTCAGCATGTGGTACCCTTCAGGGTGTCACTTGGTGAAGTCAAGCATCATTTGAGCTTCTGCTGTTCCTGAGCACTCCGAGGGCTTATGAGCAGATTCACATTTTTACAAAGATTCCCAACATAGCCCTGAACCTCTTATCCTCTCCAACCCTACCCCATTTTGAAGGCAGTCCCAGGAACACAGCAGAGGAGAAATTAAGATAATTTTGGATTACTGTGTTTGCCAGGTGAGCTATTTTTTTTCTCTCTCTAATATTGCTTTGCCTCAGGAGAGAGCAAGTCCCAAGTTAAAAGAAATCATGGATGCATAACTGTCTGTTCCTTGTTCAAAGAGGCAGCATGTTTAGAGAAGGTATTTCAGGCAAGATGATTTCTTTTAATTAATAACCATGATTGTGTTTTTAATTACTATTTCAGAAGAAAGGCCAAGACACCAGTTGGGAGTTTTCCAGAAAATACATCAGTCATTAATAGATTTAAGGCCTCAGCATTTGCAACTGTTTGTTCTCTATCATTTACTTTTAATGCTTCTAAAATTTGGTAACTGAGCTAACTCAGACTGACTGCATTTTCTATCAGGTCAGCAAATTCATATAACCTGCTCATGCCAGAATGAGGAAAAAGATATATCTTGCCTAATATATTGTATTCACTTAGACAGCTACAGCAAAGAGGGTACTGATGCTACATTGTATTCAGTGGTTTCTACATCTCTATTCAAGATATTCTGAAGTCCTCACTAAGCTCTGAAAATCAAATAGCTGAACTTGAGTATGTTGTCTTCTGCATTGCCTATGCGTGGCCACGTTAAAAAAGAGACTTTTCCCCTGATACTTCTGAATAGTGTTAGCTTCCTCTCAGAGTGAGCAGTGTGTTAGTATATTATTGAACCTTTAGCCTATGTATCAATCTGTAACTTTTTTCTTTGATTCATCAGTATGCCAACTGCTAAAATGTGGGAACAGATTTCTGAAAAAAGAAAACCAATAACAAAAACATAAAAAACCCCAAACAACAAAAAAAAACCCCTCAGAATTATTTCATTCCTAAATAATATAGCCAAAGATCTGATTTCACATTACAGGGATGTATCCAGAGATATGTTAGAAGCAGAGGACCTTTCCTGTCCAGAAGGTGTTTTTGCCATGAGTTCAAAACCTTGCAGCAAAACTGTGAAAACCAAACCTCCAATGACTTCTGCATGTAGCAGACTGGGCAAGGTAAAACACAAACTCAATACTTTGTAATATAATTTAGAAAACTGAAGAAGGAAAGGTATTTTTTTTCTGCTTTTAAAGTATGAATAATTTATATGTTTTTAGAAGACTGCCACCATTGTTTTCACAGGACATTATTCCTTTTCCTTTACTCTGGTGTCTGGGTTTTTTTAAACCTACAATGGCATTCACACTTCTCTAGATGTAGAAGCAGGTTGCTTACTTCCTTGTAGTAGCAGATTGTAGGAATTTGTGTTTTCTTAAGACAACGCTTATTTTATTTTCACTGGAAATTCAGCCTCCATCTGGCAATAGATAGTGTCATTGCTTTTTAGAAATATGACAAATCCATTTATAATTTGGGAATTCTGTGATTATTCTTATCACATTAGCAAATGTAGAGGATAATTTAAAAACAAAGGAACTCATGGAATAACTTACTGCATATTTTCTCTTTTCTTATGAATTTTCTATATGTCTTAATATCAACAACTTTGCACAATAAGAAGAGACAATCTAGAAATATCTATCCCCTGATGAACTGCAGTTCATTAATGTTTAACAACATCATGCACCACCCACAAAAGTCCAAAATACCACAGAGCACCCTACAGGAACCACATTACAGGAATCCAGCTCCTTTTAACTGACTGTGGTGTCAATAACATTGGAATATATTGTGTCTTGTCTCCTTTCATTGGGAGAAAATCTTTTACTACATTCCATTATTATACTCCACCTAGATTGAGGCAGAAAAGGAGAAGATAAAATGGATGGTAGAAGCAGTAAAATCTCGCTGAGAGCAGCTATCCACGCTCACTACCAAGGCAACCCCTTTTGTCTTTTTCTCTTCTATCAAACATACAAGGTGGAATCAAGAGAATACAAATAAGTCTGTACCTATGCTTGATTTTCCAGAGCCTCTCCATAATCTACAGATATACAAAAGTTTCTGGGAAACTTTATATAAGCATACTGCATTTTGGCACAATCCACAGCCAGCAGCAGAATTCACAGGGATCTGGGATTTATGCTTCATTAAAGCTGGCATAAAGCCAGCCTTCCTGAAGGAGGACTGAGAACCTTCAAGCAACCTGCTTAGCAATGGTGATTTTCAAACTCTCTTCTTTGGCTAAGTGGTTGGATATCTTACTAGCTTCACCCAAAGAGAACAAGATTTCTCACCTTTGGGGTCACTTACTGTGTTGTTTTGTAACATTTATTATAGACCTTACCGAAATACGTTTATTTTATTCGGAAAATAACCAAACACCACTGAATTATGCTGATCAAGTTTTTATTACTTTCCCTGAACCCCACTTGCAGAATGCAGCTTATATAGAATATGACCACATTAATGCCTAAAGCATTGTGCCCTTAAAATCAACACTGCTTGCCTCTTATCTGGCACATGTATACTACATGAAAAGTTTTTGCTTCCACTCTGCATGGTACTGCTTATCACTAATATCTGCTCTACTATGTGAAATCTTCACTGCTACAGCTTCTGGGAGAATTTAAGGCAATTACTTTTTCTTCCAAAACTCTTCATCTCTGAAATGTTTTCTCATCAGTTCTAACCCTGGTACTGTGTCATGATGGATCGACACATAACAGAGTACAAGACACCTTTCCAAAACTTTTGTGATGGTTACACTCCTACAAAACTCAGTATTTTTCACATGCAAGGTCTGTGAGATAACCAGTAGAACAAGACAAACTATACTGTGAACAATCCTGAGATTAGTCCTGCTCATCATCTTTTTCATGTAAGGCATACAAGCACAGTCTCTCACCCATCTCAGTTCCTCACTGGAATGAGTTCCTGGGTAAGGAAAAGATAGCTAAAGAGCAAATTAAGCTAAGCCAATGCATAGCTAATTGGGAGAACAGTTCCTAAAAAAGTGTTCTTCTGCTTTATACCTCTGTTATTCAGAACATCCGATCTCAACCTAAGAAATCATCACGCACTCTTGGGGTCCTCCTGGAGGTCTTGACAGTGTGATGTTTCACAAACTGATTCGGAACAAGCCACTCCTCCTCATACCCTATATGGCGTCTAATCCCTCCTGACATGCACAGGCTCTCAGCAGTCTGTGCAGCTGTGCCTGCTTATTATAGCACAATAAAGAATGAAGCTGCATTAGAAAAAAAACTTGGATGAGTAGTAAAATATAATCTGTTTTCTGAACATACGGTGAAATAGGTATTATTGCTGCATCTCTGGGCTGTGCTCTTAGCAGAATGCAAACCCAACTCCAAGTCACTGTGGTGAAAATCAAAGTTCTCTGTGGGAAAGCCTTTACTCACCTGAGTTAATCAATCTCCTCTTGTCAAACTTATGTTACCATGCAACAATAAAGGTGTTGGCTAAACTGTTTGATTGAAGGCAATTTTTTAAATTTCCACTGAAAGTGGAATTAGATTGAGAGATCAGGACTCATCCTACAGAAGACAAGTCACTGTTTGCAGAGCCAAACATAAACGTTAGTATTTTTGTTCCTTCCATATCATTCTCGGACACAGTAACACAAAATATGCATTTACAGTTAAATAATCATAAAGATACATGTGTTATTCTCTTTCTTTTCATGTCAGGGAGGAACACAAAGATGGTATCTCAAATTTTAAACACTTAGGAGGTACTAGTATTACAGTGATCAGGCTGTCTTTGTAGGTATAAAATAGACAGCTCAGCGGTTAGTTTTTTATTAAAATCTTTTTACTAATTCAAGATGATTTAGCCAACTGAATGTATATATTACATTTGGCTTCAGTAACAGATCTGGAGGTTAAGCCTGCTTTATTTCTGGCTGCTTCAGGAATACCCTGATGGATTTTGACCTGAAAATGCTTCCACTGACACTTCACAACACATTTTTCAACTCGATGATGTTTGCTAGGGGACCTGTCCCAATGTATTAAATGAAAGTGACATTGGGATAAACAAAACAACACCTGAATCTCTTCTCAGAGGAATTCCTGGCTGATTTCAGAACAGAATAGTAGAAATACAAAGAAAATCAGAGGTGGTTTATGAGCAGCATGTTTTTCTCAGGTACTAATAAAGGCATATTCCTTTCTGTAGACCACTGTCAGCTGATACGTCTTCATTTTCTCTCTCTGTTGATAGCTTACATATACAATGAGGTCACTTGCTCAAATATTTATCACTAAACACTGGTTTGCAGATTAAATCCAGACAGCAAAAACAAGGGTGTAGAAAACAACTCCTACCTTTAAGGAATGTCTTCTTTGAATTGCCATCATCTAAAACATGAACAGAAAAAAAATATGTGAACAAGCCTTATTATCACTTTTCTTAAGTTGCAGTCTTATTCAGGAGGGTTCTTAAGTAATAAGCTGGCATTAAGTATATAACATATTGTTATAACACAAAGTTTCTTTAACAAAATACTTACTATCTGCAGTTAGCTCCCTCTCAGTCTTCCCATCATCTTGATACTCATCTAACCATCTTTCATTGCAAAAACAAAAATAAGATTAATAACAATTATCAGTATATTACAAATGATCTCACAGTTACCTTCTCTCTCCAACAGTCATTTTTAATAACTTTTTATCAAATTATGCCCTGAAACTACTTCCTAGATTTCATTTTCTTTTAAACACTCATCATAGTTGGCCTTATTCATGTTAGGAGAGTTTGGATCACTCTGCTCCAGGCAAATAGGAATTTTCATGATAACTATTTGAAATGCTATAATACTGTATGGAGCACTTTATATGAAACACGAAGTATTTACAGGATCAGAGACTACATGGTTCTCTGGAGGGGCTATATAATCTGCAGAAGTTAGTTATATACATCATACTTAAAATTATCCATAACCCCTGCAGTTGTGGAAGTTTCTAAAGCTTCTGTAAATCTGCACCAAGGAACTGAACTTTTTAAACTTCCCTTTTCTTTTATACTGATGAATTTAAGCATCTTTCTTGCAACATCATTTCACTGTAAACACAAATCCATACTCCTTCCGTTGATCTTGCTCACTGGTATATTAACACTTCACAGCTTTTAACAATCTCACTTATTTAAAAACAAATAAATATGGGCTGACTTCTTTTCTATTTGCTGCATGTTGATATTGCATTTTTTAAATCCAGGGGTCCATAATATATTTCACTTCTTCTGTATAATAAAACTCTATAAATAAATCTCATATACATGAAGCTTGAACTCCATTGTATTTTAACGAGTGTTGCAATAAATATCTTTATTAACTTTTTTGAGCTTTTTCCTCATTCCCTCCTATGAAACAAAAGATCACTAGCAGTTTCTATAAATAGAATATAGACTTTGACACACTGGGAGAACATTTACACTGCAGGCAATGACAGGACTACAGGACTCCTCTAGTTCTATATATTAAGTCTTCAGTCTTTTTCTAAGAGCTTTTTTTTATTGACATGGCAGTTTTATAGAGAAGCCAAGTGTCTTCATTAAGTGTCTTCTCTTTAGAGAAGTCTCATAAAATTTCCTTGTAATTAAAGAAACTATCTTGCATTCATCTACTTTTCCAATAACTCTCTTTAATGTACACTAAACCAATTAAAAAGCCTAATAGGCAGAAAGGAAAACTAAATAACAGACCTGATCATTGGAATAATAGTTCTGAGAGGAGTAAATGCTTCGTAAATGGTTCTTAGCTAGTAATTTCCAGGAACCTTGCAAACTGAAACACTAGCAGGTAGAATTTCTAGAGGATGAGAGCTGATTGTACTGAACCCCTAAAGATTTTCAAGATTTTAACACAGAGTTCCCAAAGTAACATGGGATAATAATAAAATAAAAATAAAATAATATATATAAAATAAAAATAAAATAAAAATAAAAATAAAAATAACTTTAATATTAAACTATTTCAGCCTGGTAACCCAAACTTATAAATCCCAGATACCACATACTACAGAATATAATAAGCTGGATCTAAATTACGATTCTTCAGATTATTTGTATTGTATTAAATATATTAATATAGAAATAACACAAAAGTCTGTACTTGCATCTTGTCTTAATTTATGTTTTATTTTTATTATAGCCATATAATTCAACTCAATGACTGCTAAAATTGCAGGCTGCAGTTACCTCAGGTAATAAAAATATTTGGAAAAATGGGTGTTTGATAATTGTTAGAACTGAGAGAATCAAGCATTTTCCAATTTTGCTCATGGTAGCAAAATTCTACACCTAGTAAGACAGATTAACAAAATGAAAGGAATTGTTGTACCTCTCCTTTAAGAGAAAAGTTAAAGGTTTTTCCAAAGATTTCCAGCATGCGCATGTTTTCAGCCACTAAGAAAGACAATCTGACCAAAATCAGTACAGCTAGATCTTGATACACATTATTTATTAAAAGATTGAGCACTGAAAGCTTATTTATTTTCATGTTGTCTCTGTATAATTTTGATGAAAGAAAGACCAGTGCAACCTTTGCTCTAATGCGACACTTGGGTTTGGGCATTAGGCTGTGACTCCCTCCCACACCAATAGAGCAACTTCATTCTCTGTCTTTAATTACACATTTTGCATCCTTTGTATGTTGAAAAACTTAGGCATTGTTCGTATATCTAGCATGTGTGCATATGCCTTTTCTGCAGCTTTTTTTCTTAGGTTGCTGGCAGTGTAACAAATCATTTTTCCCCATGAACAGCATACCTGTTACAAGGAAATATAACCTCCCGAGCCTCCCTTCCTTCTTTATGTTTGATCACAATCTTATCCAGGAACCATCCATTGCCTGCGTTGAAATGACAAAAGTTTATCATGTGAAATAATGCAATTTTGGGGAATAAATACAAAGAAAAATTCCCAGATTATCTTTTACCAGCAGAAATACAGGTCATATTAAGACAGAGATCAGCTAAAGAGATAAGACATATTAACAGAATGAAAGCTTTATTACTCTGTGTCTCTCAAAAGAGCTACAATGTTAATTCTTCCCTTCCTTCCTCTGTTTTAATTTTAAGAGAGCTAAGTTTTTTCCCTTGGAGACAAGTACATGCATACACATCTGTGAACTGCCAACACCATTCACATCCCAGCCTACATCTTTTGATTCTTGGCGATCAGGCACAAAGATGTTGGGACTAATATTTTTGTGTAGTTAACAGATCTTTGTGAAAGCTGGAAATGTTGGTCCCCTGTGAGTGATGTCACTATCACATATAATTAACAAATCATTAAGACCGCTGCTCTCATTTGCAAGCGGAGTGGGGCTGCAGCTTTGGAAGACTGCAGATATGCAATTGCCCATAGTGCTGAAGGGAGCAAACTCTAGAGAACTACAAAGACAAAAAAATAAAGTTTACATCCTGTAACAAGGCTGCACTAATAAGCCTACTTCTGTAATAGTCACAAGTCTGCTCAGAACCTTAAACAGTAGAGACAGCCAGCAAGATGGGTGTTGCTTGAGGCCATTTCAGAACCAAGTATGGTACAGGTGCTTTTCTCATCTAGTATCAGTGTGGCCCTGAACTGCTTTAAAAATCCTTCTCTTGGCTTCTTCATAATCACGAATCTGCAAATATATCTGCAGTATTTACATCTTTGGTGCTTTTAAATGCTAGATTTCTCCTCATTCACACCATTCCAGAGATGCACATCTCTTTATCTGTGATAAAAATTTGGCTCATCTCAAAATTCTCTCTGTAGGTTTTCTGAAAAAACCTACAAGTTGAATGCAATGTCAGTCACTGGAACAACTCCACATTGACTTGCACAGATTCAAGAAATAACCAAATCTTTCACCATTGCCAAAGCAGCAAAGACACTATGGTATAGCTACTAATTTATCTTTAACTCTATTCTGACCAGTCTTCACTCTTTGTCTAATGAAGGACTGTCTCACCTGCACAAGCAATGCTTTCATGAGTTTTCTGCTTGCAAATAAATAGTGCTTTCTTGTAAATGCACTTGAAAACAAAGAGTAGAACAACAGTATTTTACATTAAACTCACTTTCTTTTTGCTGTCAATTACCACTGTTTCTCACTGCCCCATAACAGTGACCAGTTGGCAGGAAGACTTTTTATCACTGCAAGACCTTCTGTCACATTTTGTTTGAAGGATGCAATATAAATAAAGTGCATTGGTTTAAAAGGACTTGGAAACAGATTGGTCTCTAGGAAGTTAAATCTTACCTGGACCAGCTCCATCATGGCTAATCAGAACTTTCTCCAAGTCTCCCAGAGAGACAGCCTTTATACAGAAAATATCCACCTGTGGAACCATACAAGGAAAATTATAAAAGTCTTGAACAGAGCTATTGCTTTAGCAGTATCGAATAGTCTATTTTTCTCTTTTATTTTTGCAGAATGAACATACATGTCTTATATTAGTCCTTGCTGCTCTGTATCTTTTAAAGTTTTCTAAAGTGAATAACACTTTAAAATTACTCCACAGAAACAGCACTCAATTTATTTGATACTACACAAGGATCAGCTGCAAAGAATTATTTGGTCATCTCTGTACTTCATTTTCTAGCTCTATCCACATCACTGAGACTGGAAAACATATATGAGAATATGGATTTAGAACTTTATTCCAAATTTTACAGTGATTTGTTCAGGAGAACAAAAAAGAATGTTCTTTTCCTTACTTTATGTGCAATATAAATAAGCAAGAGTACTCAAATGCTACTGTGCAATGTTCTTAGTAAATGGTTGATCCAGCAGATAAAAATACTTCACAGATATGATTATGTAAGTAATTTTGAATAAAGAAAATACAAGAGAAAATGGCAAACTGCCTGAATAAAACTTGTAAATAAAAGGATATTTACACTTTTGAAGAACAGTATGCTAGGCATAATTTACTCTTATTGATCATAAGTAGTGTTGTTTTTACTTCACCTGTCCATGTCGAAATTTTACATTATTATTCTCAGATCTGTGGAGCTTCCTTTTACCAGCATCTCCTCTTGTCCCAATGAGGTTTATATAAACATTAGAATCTGTTTCAGCACCAAGTTTAGCACCCGTGTACACATGGACCTCGTACACCAACACTAGAAGAAGAAAAACTTTGAGATTATCCATGTAGTTTGCACGATTCAAAAGCTTTCCCATTAGTATTTTGCCAGAAGACTGTATCGACTTTCAAGTTTGGAAGTAGCAACAGTTATCCCTGCATTTTGTTACTTCCAGGTTCAAGTCTTCTTTCTTCTTATTCTCTGCACGAAAATAGGAAAATACTAAGCTTAAAAAAAAAAGCAGAAAAAAAAAAAAGCAAAAGCATTATGCTGAGTATAGCTGTGCATTACTCAGCAAAGCAGCCCATCAAGCACATGTTCCCTAGTGCTCCATTTCATTCATAGAATCACAGAATGGTTAAGGTTGGAAGGGGCCTTAAAGATCATCAGGTTCCAACCTCCCTGCTATGAGCAGGAACACCTCACACTAGACCAGGCTGCACAAGCCTCATCCAACCTGGCCTTGAACACCTCCAGGGAGGGGGCCTCAACAACCTCCCTGGGCAACCTATTCCAGCACCTTACTACCCTCATGGTGAAGAATTTCTTCCTGATGTCTAACCTAAGTCCACCCTCTTCCAGTTTAAAACCATTACCCCTTGTCCTGTCCCTGCCCTCTCTGGTCAAAAGTCCCTCCCCAGCTTTCCTGTAGCCCCTTCAGGCACTGGAAGGTTCTCTAAGGTCTCCCTGGAGCCTTCTCTTCTCCAGGCTGAACAGCCCCAAATCCCTCAGCCTGTCTTCATAGCACAGGTGCTCCAGCCCTTTAATCTTCCTCTGGACCCTCTCCAAGAGGTCCATGTCTTTCCTGTGTTGAGGGCTCCAGAGCTGTAAGCAATCCCTTTTGATTATTCATTATTTCAGGACCTAATTTGCAAAGTCATTCTTGGCAAGTTACCTGGAGACCACCCTAACTATGCCTAGCCATGGTTTCAAACAGTAGCTGTATTTCACTGGTATCAAGACACTGGTATCCACCTCAGATATTGTGAGTGTCTGACCCTCCTTTCAGAGCAATCATTAATCCTAGGGGGTTTAGATTTTCACTCCACACACAGCTGTGTGCAAGTGGATGAATGGGCTCTCTCATTTATAAAAGCTTATACTGTTTTTGGAAAGTTTCAACATTTATCATTAGTGGATGCAAACACTTTTAAAAACAGCTCTCTGTCAAAATATATTTACAACTTTTTAATGCCTCTCTGTCTAGTCTAGACCAAAGTCTTATACACAAAAAATATGCACTTATCTTCAAAGAATTCTGGAATATAATTCTGTTACCATATTAGCATATTTTGCATCACATTACTATTATTTTAATAGTTCTCCAGCTATGCAAACATCTTTAAAAATATTTGCAGTAATCACATACTTTTATGTTTAATTTCATTTTTTTTTATTAAACTTTTTTAAAAAAAATTCCTGTTTACATCTTAATGGTAATTTTTCCAGTCAGTGTTTCTATTCTAATCCCTGCTGGCCATTTCTGCTGTTATGTAGTATCACAGAGGAGATTATTATTTCACTAATGGGTAATTTTAACAGTTCTTGGGAGTGAAAAGAGCTCTCAAAAGCCCTAACAAACACAAACACTACTTTTAAGAAGGAACTAAGATAAAAATAGAAAATTATAACAAAACACTTGAAACTGGACAATATTCTACAAAAATAATTAAAATACTATTATTTTTTTACCACCAAATTCTTGTAGAACCTGACATTTTCTTGAATTTTTAATTCACTGGACCCCAAGGCAGCTTATAAAACTCATCAAAGAAAAGCTATCATTTCTGATTCCCAGTGGTGAAGCAGAACAAGTAATAAAATAACACTGCAAATCGTTACAAGGAAAAATAGCTCCACAGATATTGAAAGTTAGGAAGGAAGTGTTGATGAATAGACTGTATGCTAAACTAAATTAGAATATTTCTTTAATCTATACAAAATTTTCTTAAACTGACAAAGACAGCGTTTCTAACTATCACTATTACAACTGTGACTCCAAGTATGAGTGGTGTCACTTCATCATTCTTAATATTTTCTGTAACTCTAAGCATTCACCGCAGCTGTTACCTCCATGCATTAGTGTACCAAGATTTGTGACACAAAATTGATCTCAATAATGCACACACGTTTGACAGAGCCTTATAAAAACTAGTTTCAACGTCTTTTAACATAAAAACATATTGTTAAACTAAGTGGCAGATATGGATGGCAAGCTACAAAGATAAATTGATCTGAAAATTAGCATAATTAAGCTATATATCCAAATGACATTTTATATCATAACTTTTAGTATAATCATAACTGTGTGAAGATTAGCAACTGGAGAATATAAACCAAAGAAGAAACTGCTCAAAGGACAGAGGATAAGGGGTGACAACAAACAAGGAAATGAAACATGAATGAAACTAGGAAATAAAACAAAGATTCACACCCATCAGGAAGGGGCAAATAGTTTCAGAGCATGGAAGGAGAAAGGTCACATTTCCAAAAGAAGGCTAAACAACTGTACTCATTTTTGACCAGCCATTTGAATAATAAGGCTGGACTACACCTGGAATAAGGCACTGGGGATTAGTAAAAGTGGAGATATATCAACATGAAGTCTTCTTCATGCTTTTACACTACTACAGACATTCCCAGTTTTGAAAATGCAAAACATCTCAGGCAGCTAAGGAAAGGATGTAGAATGTTCATGTTATGACTGTTTTTATACAAAGATTGGCATGATTGATATCTTTATTACTTAAGCCTACAAATAATCTCCATAATCAAACTTCAAAATTTAAGTAACTGTAGGCACAATTTTAAAGCACGTTCAAGGCTTCTTTTGGAGAAGCCCTTTAACAATAATTGATTACAAGAAGAAAATACCAACAAGTTCTTTCATTTCTGGAGGGAGATCAAACCAAATAGATTAAGTACAGGACACACCAGAACAGCACAAGAGATAATTATAACACAACACAAAGATATTAGCAGATAAATAAATGACAGCTCCCTTTGTAGCACTGTGCATCTCTGTGGTAACCAGAGGGATGATAATGGTCTAATCAAATACAGCTTTCTATTGCCACAAGCCTAAATAAATCAGTCTGAAGTAGAAAACATGCACATGTTGAAATGTAAAGAACTGGAAAATATTTTCCATAGCTCCCTGTGTCTATAACCTCTCACCATCTGGAAAGTGTTAGGTCTGGCATTTATTTGGACTACACAATCTGCATTATTTATAAAGGAACCTTCATAACAAAAAGACCAGCTTGTGCTTTAAATTTTTGTGCAAATTAACAATACAGGCTGCTATATTAGGATAATAAATGTTCATTACCCTTAACTTGAGTATATGTTACAATGCATTTATAGGAAATAGACAAAAAATCAAGCTATTAAAACATTCTCCAAACCATGTTGTACATGCCTACTTAGAACATGCCACTATGGAGAAATGCTTGGACATTCATATCAACATTCACCAGCTAGGTTGTGGTGGTGAAGCCTTTTTTGTACAAATGGAAACCTAGGCACAGAGCAGCCTGAGCTGCTGCAATTTTTTCAAACTTTGTCACGTAGTTCCTCAAGATAGTAGAACAGCTATAAAAGGTGTTAATGTTGATGCTTGATGGCTCCTGAACACCAGAATGCTTAAATATAAGCCCATGGGTGAAATTTGTTCATTTGTGGCCTTCTGTGTGCTGCTCACTTAACACAGTTTTTTGTGTATAGAGTAAAATAAAAAGACCTTAGAAAATAAGTTTAGCCTCTGTAACCCTGGTTTAATTTCCACTGAAAACCTGACCTTCTCTAAGAAACCCCACTGCTACCACATCTGAAACGGAGACCTGCTTCCGTGCAGTAAGAAAAAGCCATCCCTACAATCTGAGAATTGGAACTCTATGGCCTGATCCTCTATTCTGTATTCTTTTACTGTAAGCTGATTTACTGAAACTACACTAGCTGAAAAAATGGGATGACAAAGTAGAGAGGTAGGCCCATAGGCAAGAAAAGGGAAGAAAAATTGAGGATTTTATCATAAAACCAATCAATGAACAGAAGTCAAGGAATACTATTTCAGCATTATGAGGGACCTGTTGGACTCACATCAATGTTTGGCTCAACAAAGTAATAGAAGAAACATTTTGCCAAATACAATAACTTTGATAAAGGATATAAGAGGATTAATTAACATAAAATAGCAGGAAAAGCTAGCACTCACTAAAAAAAGAATATGACCTTTTAGAAAGTAAGTGATTAAAATCTACAAATTGCTAACAGAGTAACTTTAGATAAGCTCTGTAATCAAACAGAAAATTTTGGGATGACACAGTTGATAAAAAGGAGGTAAAATGTTTTCAGGCAGAGCTAGGGATCTTCTAAAAGGCTATGTAAAAGACAGGCATTAAATCATTACAATGACTATGTTAAAAAAATGGCATAACAAAATTATAAAAAATATTACTGGAGTCACTGAGCAGTTAAGTGTACAAGCACCAAATTTACATTTGCTCAGTATACAAAAATGCTTCTACTGCTGCCTCTTGAGACTTCAGGTGTTTTTTTACATTGCAACTTGAGTTTCTGTCATCTATTGATAATATTAGAACATTAACTACTTGAAATAAAGGAGAAAGGAAGTTCTGATTCTCTGGTTATGAAGAGAAGGTAACCTCAGGGCATACATACTAAGGGCAACAGAATGCAAGGAAGAGGATCCTTTTCTCCAGGTTTTTATTCTGGGTACCTGAATCAGGGTTTCAAGTATAGAAAGTTGGTCTATTCTTGACAATTCACCAATTATAAGAGATAGTTCAGCCCCAATCTGCAATCACAGTACATAATTCTCATTTCCTGATGAAATAACAGCGTACAGAATTCAGTAGCTTAGAATATTTTCCTTTGGAAAATATAAACAGTAAGTATCACAGGTTACTTTGCCTTAAAGGCTAAGTTAATGTTTTTATATATTTTGGGAGAAGAAGAAACTAATCCTAATAGAGATGAAGAATAATTTATTGGTGAGAATAAGAAAATGAAAATTTTCACTGTAGAAATATTGGTCTTTTTCTGCTGACTTATAATATCCTGTTGACAGTTCTTTTGAAGATAATTCTACCAAAACAAAACTACAGTCTTTATTTTATAATTCCAGGTAAGAGCAGTTGAACTAAATGTATTTACCACTTATTAGTCCAAATACATTAGATAATCTTCCTCTGCATTTCAGCTATCAGAGCTCAGTAACACTGGTGTGCTTACAGCAGCACATCAGTTTGAATCAAGAAACTGCACCTCATTCCCTACTTCTTTCAGGTTTGCAGCATGGAGTGATTATAGAGAAATAAAAATAATAATAAAAAATTATTTTGGGATTAAACTAAACCAGAGGATGATTCTTTATATTCCAGGAACACAATGATGACAATCTTGCTAGAAATTGCCAGACAATTCATGGGAACAGACTAGAATGAGCCCAGAGTAACTCCTCCCGAATCGCACATAATGAGGATATCAGACCTTTAGCTCACTGGATTTTTAGTACCAACTGCTTCACTGCACAAGTCCACTCCCATCAGGCCACGAGCATAAACAGACAAACTGGCCAAAGAACACAAAACCTAGAGAAATGGTAAATGATATAAAACATTACAACCGCCAAACTGTTTCAAGTCAGTCCTCCTGTCATGGTAGCAATCCAAGGTATCAGAACAGTATTACACATTGCTGCTCCAGGTTCTGCCTTGTTTCCATTTAACATGCCTGCTTAAATGAAATGGTCATTTTGGCTTGATTTGCTAAACAGAGAGATTGAATCTCTGTCACATGGTTATATCATTTGTTATTTACTACCTATTTTGCACAAATAGTGTTTGGCATTTTGCCATGACAGAAGGGTAAAGATACAGGCTGGTGCAGCATTAAGGCTAAAAGGGAACAATTTCTTAATGGCTAATGATAACAGTTAAGAGGCACTAACTTCCTCGGAAGTGCTGCATATATTATTTGAGAAGACATAAATACAAAAACACCATCAGGTGAAGACATGTCATTTAGAATTAGTTCACAGGCTTTCTAGTCTCTGCTTCCATTTACTCCTGTTATTTGGAGCAATATTCTAAAAAATAGATGGAAATATTCTTCATGACATAAGTTATCAGCTTTGAAAAAAAAACACAAAACACTTACTGATCAATTTTACAATAGGAAAGAGAAGATTGACTGTTTAGCTAAGTAATTAGTGCCTCCTGAGTCATTAAACAGGCATGCAAATTTTGTAGAGATTATGTTTGAGTCACAACTATTTGCTTTGTTCATCTTTTGCACTATTTCAGTCAGTGGGCGCATTCTAACCTTTCACTATTTTCTTGAACATTTCTCCAAGCAGAAAAGAAATCTAAATAACTTGAGCTAGATTTTTTTCTGCCTCAGCCTTTGTCTTTTCTCTCAAATCAGTACTGTTGTTCCTTCAATTACATGAACAAAAACAGGGCAGAATTGACCATTTATTTTCTTATTTGACTTTTATGTTCTCCTAATCAGATCAGAAAAAACCTGCTGATCTGATTAGAAGAACATAAAAGTTGTGTGATAAAGGTCATCGTCACACTCACAAAGGAGTATAAACAGACATATATATATAGGGAGAGCCCAAATAACACTCTGCTCTTGCCTCTCCCAGGCCCATCACAGAGTCCTTGAGCCCATCTCCACAAGCACAGGGGCACAAGGGCAGGTGAGAATCCATACCCAGGACTTAGAGGAAGGGATACGCTCTTCTGACCCTTGCAAGGGCTGTCTAATACCTGTAATGTAAACTAAAAATGCCTTGAACTGTCAGAAAGAAGTAGGGTTGGATAGAAGAATCACAGAAAAAAAAACAGGTTGGAGCAGACCTCCAGAAACCACCTAGTGCAATAGCATGCACAATTCAGGGACAACTCCAAAGACAGACCAAGTGAAGTTTTTGAAATGTCCAGGATTGGAAAAAGAAAAAAAAAAAAAAAGGTGGAATAGAAAGAGAACGAAGCCCTGGTAAGGGGGAAAAATACGAAAAGAAGGGAAGACAAAGGCAGACATACATTGAAGGGATAAGAAACCTGAGTTACAGATGGAAGTTGAAACTAGTGTGATGGAGAGATTGAGAAAGAGCTGAAAGCAGCACTTGGCGTAGGAGACCAGATTAGTGTCAGCTTTCTGAAGTGGCTGAGGGACAGTCACAAAAACTAAGGGGAGTTACAAAGGTGAGAACTTTGGATGGAAAATAAAGGATTTCTGAGAGGGAGGTAAAGAAAATCAGATGGAATCAGGAAATAAGATTTTATGAGGAACTAGAAAAATTAAAGACAAGGTATCAAAAATCAGATTCCAGGTGTTGGGTCCCTATTGGATACATAGTAGACTTTGTGTGGAGAAAGGGAGAAAAAGGAAAAGGAAAAAATTACCCTTTCTCCTAAGAGAGAGGTTGAGCTATAAAGTAAGTGTTAAAAAACAGCAAGGAAAGAAACAATGTCTACTGAGCTTAGTTTGCATTTACTCATTTTGATTAAAGTTTCCAGTACATCACTTTTATACTGTACAATTTAATACCATTAGAATATACGAGATTGAATTGAAAGTACAGGATACAAATTACCAAATCATATCAGATTAAGTAAGAAGTAGTACATTGTTTGTTCTGCAGGAGAAAGTGATCTGGTTTGTCGAGTACTTGTAAGCAATTAATTTTGTAATGGGAAATGTAAATTGATTGTGTTTCATTTGCTTGTTCTTGAGAAATTAAATATGAAAACCTTGGAAGGCCTTGTGGATTTTATATTAATATTCAATTTAAATGTGCCTAGAATCAATAATTAATTTTTATAAGTTAAGATTTCAGAAAACTTCCAAATCTTTTCTATTGTATCTTTTCTTACAAACTTGAAACGTATTTTAATAAAGATAATATTCATGCAAAAGCAAAGAAAGATGCAGTAACACAATGATTTAAAAGTAAATCAAAGTGCTGTTTTCGACATATTCTTGCCCTTTGTAGAACTGACTTGCTTTTTTCTCATAGAAGAACACCTACCAAAATATTAATACTTTTATATTAATGGGGATTTCAGACTGCATAATGCACATCTGAGTTATTGATATTGAATTTAATTGTTCATACAACTTAATAGATTTCTGCATTATTTTTCTGTTGTATCAGTATATGATACTTATGTCACTGCAGGAATTGGCAAGTGGTAATGTAGTATATGTTAATGATCATGGGGCTTGCTTAATCCTGATCAGTCCTAGGTTTTGAAATCTCTTATTGAAGTCACCAAATACTCTGCAGAATAATTTAAGGAAAAATAAAATAAAATATATAAAATTTAAAAAGAGCAGAGCTGGCACATACATGTTTCTCAGCATCTTCTGGCCTCTGCAGTAGAGATGAGTAGCTTTTTTAATACTCTTTGGCCTTAAAGCTCCCCCAAAACGTTTACACATCACCAGTCCTGATGTTTTCCTAAGAAAATTATATTCTTTTGAGTTGAAGTTTTTCTCCTTTTTGATTTTTTATTCTGAAATAATTTGCTTGTCACAAAGTGCATGATGAGTCTCTTTCTATGTTGAATCACTGATTCTCTACAATATTCACTGCTTCGTTTTGAATGCGGTTTGCCTGTTGCACCTCTCTATATAATACCTACCACTGTCAGAGAGTACTGTCTATCAGCTGCATCATTGCCATTATATTAATGTATAAAGAGAGTTCTATTTAGAAAAAAACACATTCTAATAAATCATTATATTGACTTCCTATTCCTTCAGAAGAATTCCTTCTCAGGACTTTTTAAATAATAAGTTTATATGATGGGCTATTTCCCAGTTCACCTGAAGAGGACAAACTGAGTCAAAGCTGTGGTAAACTTTGAAGTACCAAAGCCTTGCTTTGGCCTGCAGCTAACAATTTCTATATGAATGCCTGTGACTTGACTCTGATTTGTATAACTTGTGTGTGATGATTCTGATCATGGTGTTCTGTAAAGAGTGTTTTATGCAGCACAAGAAAGGATGATACCAGACTTGCTAGAAGGAACTGGATGTCACATGACATTGCATACCTTGATATGCCTTGATTTCCTGCCTGATGTCTTGCTCTGCAGAGCAGTATTTGCCAGTGATCATGGGGCACTCTGAGAGTTCAATAATTTTATAGTGATAAGATGCCTGGGACACAGGTATTCTGATTTTGGGGAAGAGTAGGATAAAATTACCACTTCCTGCTTCTGTGGAACTAGAAAAGTATCTGGAAGTGACTGCTTCACGGTTATGCTGGCTTTTGGGCATTCTGCCCTGGAAGAAACATGAAAAGCTGTCATATAACCCACAGAATATGGTTAGTGAACACATAATCTAAAATACTGAGCACATACATGGCAACAGCTCCTTTGCAGGGTTTCTTATTGCCACTTCTCTCCATGTATCGCCTTCATCCTTGTCTTCTGCAAGCCAGCACTCTATGGGGAGACAAATCTTCTCATCAGAAAGAGGAACTACTCTTTCAAGTCTGACTTCCTTCAGGTACCAACTGGGATCATTTCCAGTGTTGTCGTGGCCAATGCGGATTTTATACAGATGCCCAAGATCTCTGAGATTAACCTATAACAATAAAAACAAAACAATACAAAACAAACAAAAAAACCCACCAAAACCAACCAACCAGACAAACAAACAAAAAACCCAGAAGAAAACAAAAAAAAAAAACAAAAAAAACCAACAGGTTTTAATAGCAAATTATAATGTCTTTTAGCAATCCTTCTTATAGCAGGCACGCAAGGTAAATGTGCAGCTGACGTAACGAGACTTTTTAGAAGATGAAGCCTTGATACACAATGAATCCCAGAGCAATGGAGCAAAAGCATACAGAGTAGTCTACGAGTGTAATTATATTGACTTCAGTACTGTATTATTTAAAGGGACTAAAGGACTCAAGCAGTTCAGTCTGTTTTACATCTCTTGAAAAAGTCCAGTTCTTAGGGTCATAGTGCAAATCTCTATTTCTAGACAAATACTTCAACAAGAACCTTCTGTCATTGCCACATGAAATAATGCACTTTGTAGTCATATTGCTACCATCAGCAGAGTCCTATCAACTATTCCTATCACTTATCAGTAGGCTATGGCTCACTTTTGGTTTTGTCTTCTATTTTTATGTGCATTGGTGTCAGGGTTAACTGTTACTGTAAATGCTGACGCCACACTGCAACAAATTTAAACAATAAAACATGACTGTCACATTGAATACTGCAGCCCTGAAATAAGAACCACTTTGGTTTGGGCTGCAGAAGTTTTTTAAGCAATGCTGACAGCAGGACCCCCAAGCACAAAAGCAGGGTTAACCACTTTCATTTTCAGTGATGTGTGTGAAAGCTCACAACATTGGGAAAAAAATCACAGAGGAAAGAAAAAACCAAAACAAACAAACAAACAAAAACCAACACACACACACAACATAGTTGTTTCTCTCACCATTGTATCACTTTTGTACTGTTTAGCATTAAAACAAAAAGCAAACAAACAAAAAATGGATTGACAAACAATTAACACCAACATTGCCCTGGTGGTCTGCATCTTCAAAAAAGGATGAACTAAAATTTATGTTTGAAGGTCCATTGAGTCTGTTCTGGAAGGGAATATTAGTAAGTCTGCCACAGAGTGAGTTTCCCTTTCAATGTTTTTTGCTAAGGAAGACTACGGGGTCATGATCCTTTTCTCTGTAGGAACATCAGGGGCAGTAGAGGCATATCCTTTTCACTCTTTGAAAAGTTTTCCTAGGCAATGGAACAGGCTAGTGTAGCACTGACATTTCTTGGGCTCGAGGACCATCACTCAAGAGAGTCCTGCAGCCCTAAGTGATCTCCATTTCCTTGCATCCTTGAGGCAAGCCTGGCAGAATGCAGTCTCATAAAAAGATACCATGACACATGTACTAGTGGCATAAAGTATGAATAGAGTCACACTTATGACCAAAGTAGTAAGTTTTTCTATATTAAAACAGTATGTTAAAGTAAGAGGTTCTAACTAATGGTATAGTTATAACATTGATGCAATAAAACCATGTACAACAAAAATATGCTGCTAATACTCACTGCAGAATTACAGCAGCACACAAAAAGCTCTCTGAAACTAACCACAAATGTAGTCAGGATGTAGGCTAAGTTGCCATAATAACCTGGTCACCCAGCTACAAAGAAGAGACCTCTGCAGTGGACAAGTGACTGATAAGGTTCCCTTGCAAATAAATACAATGCATGGGAGCTCTCACCCTTTATGGTGAACTGAAGTACAGTATTAGCAAAGGGCAAAGGTGGTGCCCTCCTGAGATCTAGGCTCTGGCTGCTATTTATGGTGCAGAAGTATTAAAGGGCAATTTAATAAATAAAACATGGGAGTTAACGTTTCCAGGTCAATCTGCAAAGGATTTCAACATTGTATCATAGAATCACAGAAGAGTTTGGGAAGGAAGGGATCTCTAAAAGCCAGCTAGTCCAATTCACTTGCAGTGAGCAGGGACATTTTCAACTAGATCAGGTTGCCCAGAGCCCCGTCCAACCTGACATCACCACATCACCATGCAGGGACTTCCTGTTACCAGATAAGCAACACAGGAAACCATCAAAACTAGTAAAGTAGGGTTTTAAGAAAAATCAGTACAGACTACCTGGTTTCTCCAGGAGATACTCCTAGCTCCACGCAATTCGATTAGATTCACTGAAGTCCTGTTTAGGATCTCTAAACATTCCTGTGTTTGTGTCTTTCTATAGTTCCTATCCCTCCCTAACACCTTGGCATAGTTTGACTCAATTGCAAATTGACTCCATTTAATTTGGCAATTAAACCAGAGACAACAATGTTCTTGATCCCCTCCCACCCAGGTAGGGAAGGAGAGAGAGAATAAGAGAGAAACTCTCTGGATTGAAAACTAAACTACACAGCTTTAATTAAACACTAAGGATAAAAGAAAAAATATATACAATTATATACAAATGTGTTCAGGAATGTGCAAAACCCCTATTGCCTCTCCCCACCCCCAGCAACTCCCACAGCATCTCCTGAGCTGCCAACAGTCCCGAGAAATCCCAGAGCTGCTGCTGGAGAAAGCACAGAGTGATGAGGGTCAGGAGAGCTCGAGCCTGGGGGTCGAGAGTGATGGATGGATGGAGTTCTCCCCGGATGACACCCATGGGTGGAAGAGAAGGGAAGAAGAAGAAGGAAGGAAGTTGTCTTCTGTGATCTCTGACCTTCCTCTGAGCTTACGTAGATATATGGAATGGAATATCTCTGGCCAGTTTTGCTGCCTAACTTAGCCTCCCATGGGGAGGTCATAGATGTCCCTGTAGTGTCTGAGCCAGTAGAGTAAAAGTACGACCTTGAAGACCTAGCAGTTAGAAAAACATTCCAGTGCTATCAGTCCACTAGCTGGAACACTTGCTGCTAGTTAAAAGAGAGCTTGCTGAAGGAAAAAAACAAACAACAGTAAAATGGAAATTGGCTTCATCTTGGCTCTAACCAGGACACATATGTACTCCAGAAGAGGACACAACATAACAAAATTGAGGAAGTTATGCCCAGGTGCTAAGCAGAAATTTGTCCAAAGTGTCAAGTCAAATATATTTGCTTGGTTTTGACAACGGGGACAAAGAATATAAAGTGTCCCTGACTACTAGACTAACAAATTATAAGATTTTTTAAATGATAACCTATGCAGGATATACAGATAATGGCATATTTCTGAGACTGAGAAGTCGCAGAATAATTTAAAACCCAGAACAGTGTCAAACTGATAACATGCTTAGTAATACTTCTGTTTCTGACTAATTGTTTATGAATGTTCTTGGGTGAAAAAAAATGTTTATTCTTTATTGGAAATGAAGGCAAGAATGTCAATGGCAGAAAGAAAATCAAGTGTATATGATGTTCTAGGAGAGGCATAATACAATTACAAATTTAGTTATAGCTCCTGCTGTAGTTTTGAGAGTTGGAACAATTCGTCTTGCTGTCAGATCAGATATCACATTGGTCTCTCAGTGGTATTGACTTGCTAACATGTTACTTTTTGCCAATCGGAATCCTGTCAAATCTATGTCAGATTTCACTCTTGCAGTGAAATGCAGACGAAAATACTCTCATTACATGGTAGAGCTAACAATATTCTTTTGCCAACATAAACATTGTATCTTGAGGTCGCTCCTTCGTTTCCAGTATTGACTAAATTGTCCTGAACTTCTGCATGACTTGAAAACAACCTAGTACTTACAAATCTACTTTTGCAGCCAGAACATTCTGTAAAAACTTGTAGACCAAAATTGACTTTGTTGTCCTTATAAAAAAAACCACATACTTACAAAAAATTTAGTCTAGCTGTTCTATTCTGGCACCAAAGCTGTGAAAGTAACATTCCATGTTACATGAAAAAAGCTCTGACAGATCTGCAATAAATGGTCTTGGAAAGAAGAAAGGATGTGTCCAGAACTAAAGCATCACTTTGGAAACCAGACAACTAGATTCTATTACTGGATGTGCTTTAGGCTTCCTGAGAAACATTACATAATTCACAAGTCCCCTAAGCTTCACTTTCTCAACTATACAAGGACAACGTTTACATGTCTCTCACAGGGACACTGCAAAGCTCTCTTCATAAATGTTTAGATCCTCAGAGGAAGACAGAAGTCCAAATTTCTGTACTCTTCCTATAATTATCTATTAATTTTGGCTTAGTCACTATTCTTCCATAACTCAATTGACAGATCAAAATTTTGAATAGTAATTCTTCTAGCTAACTTTGTAAAGTTAGTGTTTCTAGTCAAGGATAATGTGATCTCATGTAGTCTCTCATCCAGTCACGCAATTTCTATTGCCACTAACAGAAGTTGTGCAGGCAGAATAAGGGGGCAATAGCAACAAGCTGTTCAGCAAATATGTTGTAAATCTACTGAAGAACGTGGTCAATATAATAAAGACATTCATTCTCTACAGTGTAATTAGACATTGTAGGCACTCAAACTTCCTAAATGACAAGGACACACAGAGACAGAAGAGATGGAAGATTGATGTATTTTGGGGTGGGTCTACCTTCCTCCAGGCAAAATTGCTCAAGTCCTAGCAACCATACACCCAAGTTAGCACAACAATCCCTCAGACTGGGCAGTCCTGCCTCTCAAGGCACACTGCTGCTGGTGAGCACTGGACAGCAATGCTACAAACATCTATTAAAATACAAAAAGTTAGTTTGCAAAGTTCTTTTCTCCCTGTATATTTTTCAGCCTGATATGGTAGAGTTTGGACATGCATAGAAATTCAAAGTCATAAATTTTAAAAGATAACAATCTGGGGACATGAAGGTGCCATTCTGATGTGGCTTACATCAACCATGTATAGAACATATATAAGACCTGAACTTCAATGGAGGTAAAAAACAAGGGCATGGAAACACAGATGCGTTATGGAAATTAAGGAATCTAGATATCACAAACACCAGATACACTGATCATCTTAGGGACTGACAGGTCTATCAGGTCTGACAAATTACAACTTCACACTCTTCCCAGCAAAAAGTTTTGTAAAACACTTGAATCATAATTTACAGTTCACTTGTTTGT